TTGTTGGGGATAGGAATTAAATCCCAGGACTCAAGAAGGAGAAGCAGATGGATCTCTGTGTTTGAGGCCAACATGGTGGACTATTTATTTAGTATGTTCTAGCCCAGCCAGAGCTACATAGACTCTGCCTCAAACAAAAGAAAATAAAGCAAACACACAAGAAACCTGAGCAAGACAAAGCAGCATGCACCTAGAACCCCTAGCATTTCAAGGCAGAGCCAAGTTCAAAGCCTGCCTGGCTTACAAATTAAGTTCCAGAGTAGCCAAAAGAACACAGCCAAGACCTATCTCAAAAAACAAAGAGTGGCTCAGGTGATATAAATTAGAGGTGGAGTCTCTAATTTATGAGGTATGAGGCACTGGGTTCAATCCCTATTACGGTGAACAAAGAAGCAAACCAAAAAGCAGAATATGTATAGCAGAGACACAGGCCTTGGTTTGCCCTTTATTTCTCAACTGTTGTATTGTATTATGCTGCCCAGGATGGGCTGGTGCTCATGGCACTACAGAACAGCTGGCTGGCAAGCTTCAAAGCCATCCTCCCGTCTCCACGACCCATCTAATTCCATCTGTCTTTTTATCTGGGTTCTATGACTCCAACTTGGGACATTCGGCCTGTCTATCTCCTTAGCCTCTATTTTAATATTCACGTCCCTCCATTTTTACTCAACTCCTGCTCTTAAACTTTGTGTGTGAGAAAGAGTGTGTGTACATGCACGCAGGAAAAATCCTTCTACCATGTGGGTCCTAGAAACCAAACTCAGGTTGTTAGGCTTCTTGTATGTAGCACGCCATTTTTTTCTTACATTTCTTTTCTTCTTCCTTCTTAGTGGCAATGGAGACTGAATCCAAGTCCTTGGGGATAACAGTAAGTTTTAACACTACCTACAGCCACATCCTTTTGTGTCCTGTCAGTCTTTTTAACTAAATATCCTACTTGTATAGTATTTTACTTATATCCCATATGTGGCAAACTTCTTATTCAGTTCTAAATGTTTTCTTAGTTCTTTGCTTTTGTTTCTTATTTTAGAGTCTTACTAGGTTAATCAACCTGGTCTTAAACTCCTTGGCTCAAATAATTATCTCATTCCAACCTCTTAAATAGCCAGGATTACAAATCCATGCCATTATGTCTACCTTTACCCAACTGCCTTCTCCCCTATTGATATTTGCAGTGCTGGGCTGTACTTTGCCTGACACATCCTTTTTTGTTTGTTTTGTTTTGTTTTGTTTTTTTGAGACAAGGTTTCTCTGTGTAGCCCTGGCTGTCCTGGAACTCACTCTGTAGACCAGGCTGGCCTCGAACTCAGAAATCCACCTGCCTCAGCCTCCCAAGTGCTGGGATTAAAGGCGTGCGCCACCACCGCCCGGCTGCCTGACACATCCTGACCAAGTACTCTGCCAATTTAACTTTCCTAACAAGTTTTCACTCAATTATTCTAAATATGTGGAAAAGAAAATTTTTGTGCTATTTTTGGGGAGAGGGGTTGTTGTTATTGGTTTTGTGTATAAGTTTTGAAGATGTTGTTGTTTTGAGACACGGTTTCTCTATGTAGTCCTGGCTGTCCTGGAGTTCACTAGTTGGCCTCCAACTCCCAGAGATCCATTTGCCTCTGCCTCCTTAATGCTGGGATTAAAGATATGCACCACCATGACAACTTCTGCTATTAATTTCTAACACCGTCACAGTGTCAACAGAGAATATAGTCTTAATGATACACATTTTTTAGGCCTGGGAGGCTGGAGTGATGGCTCAATGGTAAAGATCACTGGCAGCTCTTCCAAATGACCCAGGTTTGATTTCCAGTCCTCACATGGCACACAACCACCTGTAAACCCAGTTCCAGGGAATCTGTCCATCTCTTCTGGCTTCCTCTGGCACCGGGCACATATTTAGTGTGCAGACTTACATGTAGGCAAAACACTCATCATGCACATAAATTCTTGGTTTCAGTTTGTTGTTTTGAACAAAATTTCTCTATGTAGTCTTGGCTCTCCAGGAGCTCACTATGTAGGCCACAATGACCTCAAATTCAAATAGGCCCTCTTACCTTTGCTGCTCACTCTTCCAGCCCCCAATGGTGAGATTTAAGGCCTGTGCCATCAAGGCCTAGCCTAAAATTACTCTAGTTTTACCAAATAACAGTTCATATTTTTAAACTGATACAGTAGCCCCAGGCTTATGGAGTCCAAGCCAGTGTGCCCTTAACTCTCCGTGAGTATCCATCAGCCAATGGTTTTAACTCTTATTTCTAAACACCTGCTTATATAACTGTATTCACTTTAAAAAGCATTCATTTTTATGTATATGGGTATTTCTCTTGCGCATGTGCCTGTGTGTGTGTGTGTGTGTCTGTGTGTGTGTGCCTGGTACCCCTGAAAGTCAGAAAGACTACGATCCCCTAGAACTGAAATTACAGACAGCTATCGGGAACTTTTAATACTCTCACACAAATTCATGATTTAACTACAGAATTCTAAGATGAAAATCAGAATCACCTAGTATTTGAAACAAGCAATCATTTATTATTAGAGTATAGTTTCCATTGTTCCTAAGGAAAGTCTAATGTGAGGGTGGGGATGAAGCTCAGTTGGTAGAATGCATGTCAATCATGTACAAAGCCTTAAGTTTGATTCCAAGCACCCTATCAGATGTGCCTGTAATCCCAGCACTTGAGATGGAGTTAGGGGAAACAGAAGTTTAAGGTCACCTTTGGTCACAGTGTTTGAGGCCAGTCAGGACTACATGACACCTTGTTTCAAAAAAAATAAAACAAGTCTAGCGCTGATCTCATTCCTAAACTCTGAAGGTCTGTGCCAGCTTCCATCCCATCCAACAGAAATTCTCTTCAAGCTTCACTTTATTCCCAAGGCACTAAAATCTGCTTTGGGATGCAATTTTTATACTTTCTCAATTAATCTCTCTCCAAAGAAATATTTTGTGAACTAAAAGCTCCTGTGTTTAATTCAAAGAGCTTTTAAAATTTATTCCTTTTTTAATTTTTTTTTATGTTTTGAGATAGGGTTTCTCTGAATAGCCCTGGCTGTCCGGGAACTCATTCAATAGACCAGGCTGGCCTTTAACTAAGAGCTCCATCTGCCTGTGCCTCCTGAGTGTTGGAATTAAAGGTATGCACTACCACCACCTGGCCCTGTACTATTTTAAACATATAATTCATCAACTTGAATATGTGCATGCATATTTTTTTAAAATTTGTGTTATAATTAGTACTTTATTATGTAAAAAAGAATTCATAAACTTACTGTTAAATACACCTCACTATACTGATGTGTCAAAACGAATCTCAGTATTGAACAACTATATTAACTCTAATTCTTTCACTAACACATGAAATGACTCAATAATAGTCATTTAGGTATAAAATACTTTTGTTATGACTTTTCCTTAGAATATATGTATATAATAAAACAGGTGGCTACAGCTAGCTGCTGCTGCTGCTGCTTCTTCTTCTTCTTCTTCTTCTTCTTCTTCTTCTTCTTCTTCTTCTTCTTCTTCTTCTTCTTCTTCTTCTTCTTTACATGGGTTTATCTCTTAACTAGTATTACAGAGACATTTGTTTATTATGAAGAATCTTTTTCATTTAAGATTTATTTCTGCAGGGCGGTGGTGGGACACGCCTTTAATCCCAGCACTTGGGAGGTGGAGGCTGGCGGATTTCTGAGTTCTAGGCCAGCCTGGTCTACAGAGTGAGTTCCAGGACAGTCAGGGCTATACAGAGAAACCCTGTCTCGAAAAACAAAAACAAAAAAAACAAAAAAAAAAAAAAAGATTTATTTCTATTTGTGAGGGGTGGGGGCAGGGAGAAGGAGAGGGAGAGCGGGATCAGAGGAGGTTTTAAGACTTCCCAGGGCTGGGTGTCAGAAAACAAACTTAGTCCTGTGGGAGAATGACAAGCACTCTTTTAACCACTGAGCCATCTCTCAGTTTACATTAAGAAATTTTTATTTGGGGGCTGGAGAGATGGCTCAGCGGTTAAGAGCACTGACTGCTCTTCAAGAGGTCATGAGTTCAAATCCCAGCAACCACATGGTGGCTCACAACCATCTACAATGAGATCTGATGCCCTCATATGGGTGTCTGAAGACAGCTACAGTGTACTTACATATAATAAATAAATAAATAAATCTTAAAAAAAAAAAAAAAAAAGAAATTTTTATTTTGTTTTTTTATTTTTTGGTTTTTTGAGACAGGGTTTCTCTGTATAGCCCAGGCTGTCCTGGAACTCACTCTGTAGACCAGGCTGGCCTCGAACTCAGAAATCCACCTGCCTCTGCATCCCAAGTGATGGGATTAAAGGTGTGCGCCACCAATGCCCGGCAAGAATTTTTTAAACTTCAGTTTATATGACAAGAAAAAATAGGTTTAGTATTATAATAACTTATTTTGATATCTCAGTTTACTAGGAAGCTAAATATCTTTTCACACATTTAATAGTTACTTACATTTTCCTGTATGATCTCTCCTTTTTTTTCAACTATTTATCAAATTCCTAAAGCCTTCATAATTGATTTGCGGATAATTTCTTCTATATTAAGCTCAAAAGGTCTTCTATATCCTTTGTGCTCTTATGTCAAGTAATAGTAAAATCATACCAACAAATCTTCCTTTCTGTGCCGCCCTCACTAGTAAAATTTCTCTTGTTCTGTTCAGTAAAATGCTATGTGAAACATTCTCCTCAGAGATCTCAATCAGCATCAGACGGAGGGAGCTACTTATTTTTAACAAACAGAAACTGAAAGCTACATATCTTATTCTATAGCAAACAATCTTTAGTTTTTCATAGTTCTCTGTTTAAGTAAAACACAAAGACAAGGAAATCTGAAAGTTTTATTTTTATAACTCAAAATTTTTAAGGGGGAAGAAAAGCTCTTAAATATTTTACTCTGTAAGCAACAACAGTGGAAGAAACGGGATGATTTCTTTGGAACAATAAGATGCATTTTCTCTCATAGGATTTCACAAAAGACACGTTTCTTACCTGTTTGGAGAGTACTAGGAAAAGACAAGGTGACTTTTTCATCTTCATTCTGATAGTTAAATCCTGTCGCATGGATTTCTGGAAAGAAGAAATTATTTCACAAATCTGAGTACATTGAAAAGAACAAATCCCAACTGCCACAGTTAAGAACTTTAACAAATTTTCTACTAAAATGAATGAGCTCCTCTTATTTGTGAGACAGGTCTGGCTATACAGCCCTGGTACTCTGTAGTAGCCCAGGCTGATCTGGATCTCATAGCAATCCTCCAGCCTTAGTCCTCCAAGTGTTAAAATGAATTGTCCCTTTCGTTTGTTTGTGTTTTGGAGATGACGTCTTACTATATAGCTCGGCCAGGCCTGGAAATCAGAGATCCTGTGCTAGCATTAAAGTTGTGTGCCTGGACAAATGCAACATCCTCGAGTAGTAAATCAACTTTCAATAATGAGTAAAACATGCTCCTTAAAAAATAATTACCCACGGGGCTGGAGAGATGGCTCAGCAGTGAAGGGCACTGACTGCTCTTACAGAGGTCCTGAGTTCAATTCCCAGCAAACACATGGTGGCTCACAACCATCTGTAATGGGATCCGATCCCCTTTTCTCAGTGTCTGAAGACAGCTGCAGTGTACTTGTATATAAAATATATAAATAAATCTTAAATAGAAAAAAAATTGCATGTGGGGCTGGATAGATGACTCAGTGGTTAAAAGCACCAGCTGCTCTTTCAGAGGACATGGGTTCAATTCCCAGCACCCACATGGCAGTTCAGAACTGTTTATAACTTCAGTTCCAGAGGCTCTGACACCCTCACACAGCCATACATACAAACAAAACACCAATGCACAGAAAATATAAACAAATATTTAAAGAAATAATAATAATTACATGTGGGCTGGTGAGATAGCTCTACAGGTAAAGGCACTTGCTGCACAAGTCTTGTAATATTAGTTCAAAATCATCAGAATCCATATATATGTACCAACTCCACAACATACACACACAGACACAATATTTTTAAAAGTAATTATATTTCTTTATAAATTTGCCTTCTTTGGTGATGTAAAGGAATACGGTTACTACAAATGATACAGCTTTCTTTTGTATTTATTCACTGACACTGTGCTCATTTTTGTGAGATGGGTCTTGCTATTTAGCAAGACTGTCTTCCAATTAGCAATTCTTCTGCCACAGCTTCCAAAGTTGTGATAGTCTTGCCAGATTTACAGAAAAGTTTCATTCTAATTGGTACGTGATATTACTCTCTATGCTACATCTATGCAGCATAAATCTTCGCAAGATTAGTACACTGTCAACAATTCATTGTTAAAAACATGAAAGTCTTGCACCTCACTCCCCAAAATAGATAATGTAAACTATGAAAGAAATCACACCCTTTTCTGGATTCTGAGCTCTTACATTTTACAAAAATAAATAAAATAAGAACCTGTACGATAAATTAAGACTCCAGTTATGCTAGGCAGTGGTGGTGCACGCCTTTAATCACTGCACTTGGGAGGCAGAGGCAGGCGGATTTCTGTAGGCCAGCCTGGTCTACAGAGTGAGTTCCAGGACAGCCAGGACTACACAGAGAAACCCTGTCTCAAAAAAACCAAAAAACCAAAAAAAAAAAAAAAAAAAAAAAAAAAAAAAAAAAAAAAAAAAAAAAACCCAAAACTCCAGTTATTTATTCTCCACCACCCATGAGGAGAAACTGGTAACTTTAATACTGCTTAAGGAAGCTTACTTTACTTAACATACTAAGAAGCCATAAGCTTGTTCCAACCAACACATCCCAAGTTCACCCCAAATAAAAATGATGGGTAAAGATGTGGCTCTAATAAACATGTGAAAAGATGTTCAGCATCAAAATCATACACACAAAAAATATCAATTCAGACCCACAATGATGACTACGGTCACACTTACAGCTACACCTAGGGAGGCTTCAGAGAACTGGAGCACAGACATTGCTGAGAGAACATCTAAAGGTGGACGCCTAGTAAACAGTTCACTTCATCAGAAGGTTAAATATACAGTTGCTTATTTATGGTGGAGCAATCCGACTCCCATGGATGTTTTCTCTTTCCCCCTCTCTCTCCCCTCCTGCTCTCTGTCTACACAAAGACGTGTGTATGTGTGTGTGTGTGTGTGTGTGTGTGTGTATAATACAAATGATCATAATGGTATTACTTATAATAGCTCCAATGTAGGGATTCTGTCATTGAATGTCCATCAACTAATGAAGAGATAAAATGTGGTAGAGTCACAAAATCAATTGTTATTCAACAATAAGGAGTGTGGTGCTGTGCTACAAGATGGCTCAGTGAGTAAAGGTACATGCCACCATATATGACTACCTGAGCTGGATCCCTGAAATCCACATGGTAGAAAGAGAGAGCCAACTCCTAAAACTGTCTTAGACCTTCACAAATACATTATGGGGTGCATGCCACCACCTTGCCCAAATAAACCAAGTTAGACAAGTAGAATCAGAAGCTCAAAGCTAGCCCTGGATATATTGTAGGTTTGAGGCCACCCTAAGCTACATGAAAAAACTGTCTCAAACAAAATTTTAAAAAATGTTTTTAAATAAATGAGTGGTGAACTGAGGAACAACGGGCAATGACCACTAATGAGTACTTTCTTCCTAGAAATTCAAAATGTTGATTGAGTCTGCTGATGGCCATACAAAACCTGTGGACAATCTAAAAGCTGAAACCTACATATCTTATTCATTCTTAAAGTGAATGACTTGATGGGGCTGTAACCTAGAGTGATCCTCCCAGCTCTTCAGCCCAGCCCCTGGGATTACAGGCACGTACTATCATATCCACACCCCTTATATGCTTTAAGTTGGCTAGCAGAATTTCAAACATTTTTATATTTATATTATTACTATGGTTCATACATGTGTCTGTAAAACTAAAACCTTTACAAAGACAATAAAAACAGTTCAGACTCTGAAGGGGTTTTCAGCAATCCTCTGAGTAAAGCTTCCTCACTATAGATAAGGAAAACAGAAAATGAAATATATAGAATTAAGGATTTGATGATGACTGCATGGTTAAACTCAGTAGTTTCTTGTACCTATTTCTAAAATTCTTCTTGCTAGCATAAAATTTCTTCTAGTTGGGGATTTAGCTCAGTGGTAGAGCGCTTGCCTAGCAAGCACAAGGCCCTGGGTTCGATCCTCAGCTGGGGGGGGGTAGGGGGGGAAACAGGAAAAAAAATGTCTTCTAAAATTAAACAGATATCCGAAATTTGGTATATAGAGTTGTTCTCTACTAGACCAAAAACTAAAAATATGCTTCCCTAAGATACAATTATAATAGCCTTAAGGGAAGGTAATTACCACCTTAATGACTAAAAATGTCCCCTCTACCAGGTGTAGGCTACCAGGACCCAGGGAGGCTAAGGCAGGAAGATCATGACGAGTTGAGGGTAGCCTAGAATGACAGTGAGATAATGTCTCAAGTGATCAACAAACAAAAATCAATATTCTTTTGTCTTTGTGTGGTGTGCGCATCTTCATGTGGGTGTGTGCATATGTGCATGTGAGTGTATGTGCATATGGAGACCAAGGGCAACATTAGCTATCTTCCTGGATCAGTTTCCACCTCATGTTTGTGACAGACTCCACGGTCTGGCTAGGCTGGCAGGTCAATGACCTCCATCGTCACTTTTCTGTGAGTGCTGTGGTTCTGAGATCACGTCTGCACAACTGTGTGGCAAGTACTTTACTAACGAAGCCACCTCCCCAGCCCAAGTCTTTTTAAAGAGAAAATGGTATTCTAGTAGCTCTGAGCTATTGTGATCAAGGATTACTAAAACCAATTTGTTCTTATAAACTGCAAAAGGCTAATACAACACTAAAGAACAGCAGGATGAGAGAGACCGGAGCAGTCCAGTGCTCTAATGCTACATTTCTTCCCACAATACATACTTCCAACTGTAGGTACAACTAGGCTTCATAACCACCAAGAAACCAAATTTTCTCTGAAAAGAAAGTAGTCATGTATTTGAATTCTTTTAAAATATCTTGAATTATTGGAACTATTTCAATCCTTTTATATTTAATGATTGTTAAGTAGAGCATTCCTTTGCCCCAAATCAAAGTCTTGTGATGCACTGAAATCTAAAACTTTGAGATACATGGCCTAACATACATGGCCAAAGCAAAAATGAGAAAGTACTCAATATAATATTAATAGTCATCAAGGAAACACAAACTCAAACTATCACCACTGACCACTACACACACACACACACACACACACACACACACACACACACTGCAATGATTAGCTTTACTAGAGTGGCAACAAAAACATAACCTAAAATTAAAACTAATGTTGCTGGTGCAAACATTCTCCACTACCCTTAGGTTTCCCATGTTTGCCTGGACAGTTCTTTCTCCAGCTATGTAAATGCTGTAGAGCATTCAGACATAACGCCCTCTTTAAAGGTCTGTCCTATCACTTCTAAGGACACTCTTCACAGGACTGGGTCCTATCCCCAGCACAAACATGGGACATGGTGGTAAGTGGTTGCAACTCAAGTCCCAGGACCCAGGAGGCAAATAAAACTCAGAATTTCAATGTCAATCACAACTACATTATAAAAGTAACTTTTTATTCTCCTGTATTAAGGCTTACTGCCTCTGCTAACCTAGGCCTAGTCCTGGAAGCCTCCATATAATCTTATCTAGGCCTAGAATGTTTTCAGCCTCTGGGACGTACTGCTGAACAAGAACACCCTTTCTAATTCTTTCTGAACTCTGGCTGGCTGGTCAACTCAGCTCAAACTTCTCTCCATGCCAACTGACTCAATCTGGCTTCTCTTGCTGCCTGTGACTTTTTGCTTTGCTTGGCCTCAAACTTACTCTGGCAATCTATTCTTGTCTTCTGGCGTTTCCTCATTCTCTGGCTTGTTTCTGTCTTCACCTTTATCTAGCTTATTCTCTCTTCAATCTATCTCTGTAAAAATGCCACTTCTCCCTCTCTCTCTCCCTCTCCCAACTCTCTCCACTGCTCTCATAAAGTAGCTTCCCTTTCCTAATGAGAGCTTCCCTTTCCTAA